CAATCACATCCTTCCCACAGTGCAGAGACCAGGACTGCACACAGTACTCCAAATGTGGCATAACCAAAGTCCAAAATAAATCTAACTTAACCTCCATGTTACATGTAATATTTATAAAATGCAAGGACAGAAATCGGGAGGCTCTGCCTTCAGTTGTACAGAGATACAACCAGAACTGTTAGAATATGAGATCATAGAATCTTGCAGCAAAGAGTGGGGCCATTTGGCCATTGTGCCTGTGCCAGTTCTTTTAAATAAATATCTATTCAGTTTGACTCACCTGCTCTTCTAGTGACCAAAAATGTTTCCTTTTAAATATTGAATTTAATTTCCTTTTGAACATTACTACTGAATCTGCTTCCAGCACTGTTCAAAACAGAGCTTTTCATAGAAACTGTCATCTCCTCTCTTTTATGTGAAGCCCCTTAGTACATTTAGGTGTACGATCCCAAAATGTTCCCAACATATGACTTGTAACAATCAATTCTTTTAACCTATTGATGGTTTATTATCTTCTCTGCAACCTAACCCAGATCGCTGTATGAAGTACATGGCAATTGTTTTCATTGTTCAGTATGTAAGTTTCACAATTCGCCTCATTTTCAGACAGTGTTGGTAGCACATGAAGCTTGATGTGCAACACAGCATCAGTCTTTGCCCTTTCTGCTCTGTTTTGAGTTTAACAGTTTATTTTCATTCTATTTCTGGTTAAATGCACTGTCTCATTTTCTGTAGCCAATTAGCCACCATCATTTGTCCACTTAAGCTCTCTTGGGGAAAATAAAACCAATTGCCTTTGATCCTTCCCTTATACTGATGTTTCACTCTTCCTTTTGAGTCAGAAAATCTACACTGACACTCCAGTGTAGTGCCAAGAGAGTGCAGCAAGGTTAGAGGTATTGTCTTTGAATGAGATTTTCAAGTGAGGCCCTATATTTTCTCTCAGGCATATAATATCTACGACCAGGGCAGTCATCTATGGGTCTTGGCCTATATTTATTCCTCAGTTAACACCACAAACAAATAATCTGGCCATTATATCATCTTGCTGTTTAGTGGAACTTTGTGCAAGATGGCTGCTACATTTCCTACATTACAATAGTGACCACAACTGTGAGTACTTTACAGCTAAAGTAATTTTGATGATACCTGAGATTATGAAATATAGCATTGGTTGTAATCGGTGCTACACTTGGTACATCTGGCATTTATTTGTGGAATAAGGTACCAAAGTATCATCTAACCAGACTCGCAAGTTGTTACAAAATCCACTGAAGAGGAAATGGCAACAGGTAAAGAGAAACCATTTCTTTGGCTCCTAACATCTATATGGTAAATTCTTCCCCTATTTATTCATCAAAGTTTCTGCGATATGAAAACACTTGTTACCAAATTGTGTAGAACTATGTGTAACTTCGTTTAATTTATATTTTGTATTTTTTATGTGTTAAGGGCAAGACATGGTTAGTCAATTTTAGAATTTCAATTGTGGGCTGGGGCTGTGGTGCCAAGGAATGTGGAAGTCAGTTTTCCTTACGTTCATTTTAATGAGTTTTTACAAGTTTGATTTGAAGAGCTGGGGGAATTAACAACGTCAGTGCATTTTTATAAAATTGTACAGTTGCCCAGCAATAGAAATCTGGTGACACAGAAACAGAACAATCCAGAAAGTCAGTGAGTATATGGTGTATGCCAGAGAGTGAAGATTTGCTAAACACTTAGTTTAGGGAACTCCTCTATTTGTTCTGAAATTAAAGTAATTGCTAGTTTGCAGTTTGTTCTCGATAACTTGGAGAGAGACATCAGATAAAGGGATAAAGCATCCAGTGAATGTGCAGAAATTGACCAAAGAAAACCAATTGCATCTTAGTGTGAGCAAAGAGCATTTATGTGGAGATAGTGGTAACCTTCCACTGAGCTTTCCGTGTTTTAAAGATAGTGCAGGTGATCAAACAGGTATTGTGAGTTTGAATTTTTTCTGATGTCTGTTTACAACTTTTTGTGTGGTATAATATGCTTCTCTTTTTGTTTACTCTTTATGTTGAAAGCACACCTGCTTCTGAATTTAAGTGACTGATCTCCATGGTTTAAAAGAAAAACAAAGTTAGGATCTAACAAGCCAGGCTTCATTCTGAGATCTGATTTGTTCAAATTAACATCATCTGGGATTGTAGTAAAATACAAACATGGTTGTATTCAGTAATTTACCCAAAAAGATGAGACGAACTTTTAAAAATCCCATCTTGATCTCAAGAAAATTACATTGAGTTAGAAAAGCTGAATAACAAGGCAAATTTATTAATTTTAAAGATAAATGAGTTTTGAAGAGTCACTGAACTCAAAACATTAACTCTGCTTTCTCTTTACAAATGCTGTCAGACCTGCTGAGTTTCTCCAGCAAGTTCTGAGTTCATAAGTTCCCAATCTTCAGCAAATGTAATTCTTTGTTTTATAATATAGAAACATAAATGTTTGGTTCATAAAATTCATAGTGTCTTCAACCCAGCTCTAATTATAAAACTGGGATGAAGTTCACCAGAGATGGATAGGATTGATTTACTGATTGTCAGCAACTTTGCTTTCAATACACTCAAATACGTTGACTGATCACCACTGAAAAAACATCAACTTTTTAAGCATATTTTGTAAAACTCCCAGGGATTGTTTACAAACATCTGGCTTCCTTCCACCATTTCATTGTCTCAACCTTCCTGCCTCCCTTTCAGCTCATCTTTCTCAATTGCTATCAACTGGAATGGAATTTCTATGAATTATTAGATTGTTCACAAAATCTTCAGCATCATGGTGGGTTTCTGTGCATGTTTTTGATAAGCTAAATATGGTACTTTCTATGTCCAGTACTAAACTTACTCTCATTTTTTTACAACAATGGCTTTATACAAAAACAGAAAATACTCGGCAGATCAAGCAGCATCTTTGTGTTTTTTAATAGTTACTACATTATGTTTAAAAAAAAAAGGAACACAGGACACATAGGCTGGAATGGGCCATTGATTCCTTGGGCCAGTTTTGTCAAGCAATAAGATTGTAGTTGACCTGGTTGTGATCTGAATTCCTTTCCTATTTATGTTGGCATGGTTTTGTGTGTTCGCCAATGCAGAGCAGACCTCAACATATTTCTTCAAACAGTACTTTGCACTGTATATCTAGTGAGCTTGTAGTAAATGTCCCTGTCCTCAATTACTCTAGATCCGACCTTTCAGCAGAGATGACTGGGATATTTTTCTACATCTGATATAAATAGATACATCTCTATTATAACAATACATCGTAGCCTACCTCACTGGTTCATCTGCATATTACTTAATTCTTATACCAATGTTGTCCCCTAAAACACATGACTCCCTTGTCTTTCAAAAATGTAACTCCATCAAATTCAATGATCCAGACTCCCTTGCTTTATGGGGAAGAGAATTGTACAAAGTCACAAGCCTCTGCAAGAAATATTTCTACCCTATCTTAAAAGGGAAAGCTCTTAGTTTAAACTCTGTCCCTAGACCATTACTCAAAGGGAAACATCCTCCTGGTATCCTCAATATCAAGTCCCTCTGGATCTTAAGATCACCTCTCCTCCTCCTAATTCCAGTAGTTATGGGCCCAACCTGCTGAGTGTTTCTTCACTTTAAAAAGTCCTGTTCCTTAGAATGAGTAGAGTTAACCTTCTCTGAACTGTCTCTAATGCGATTTATTTCCTTTTCAACATAAGCAAACAAAAATGGTACACAACATTCCAGATGTGATCTCAGCAACACACTATACAGCTACAGTGGGACTTCCCTACAGTTAAAATTCCATATCTTCCCTACAATCAATGCCCACATTCCATTTGCCTTCCTAACCACTTGCTGTACCTACATACCTACTTGTACTGGGACACCCAGATTAGTTTATACTACTGAGTTTTGCAATCTCTCCACTTAAATATACTGCTTTACGAGTCTTCCTGCTAAAGTGGACAAGTTCACATTTTCACAGATCTAGCGTTTTTTGCCCATTCACCTGACCTGTCTATTTTCCTTTGTAGATTCTTTGTTCACTTAACAATTTACCTACTGACCTAAAACGTAAACAGAAATTGCTTAGAAAAGCTCAGCAACTCAAACTCCAGACAAGTTCGGAAGAAGGGTCACTGGGCCAGAGGAGTCTGCTTTC